AGGAGGAGGAGGAGGAGGAGGAGGAGGAGGAGGAGGAGGAGGAGAAGGAGGAGGAGGAGGAGGAGGAGGAGGAGGAGAGGCCACCCTGCTGGGCTGGGAGGGCCTGCCCAACGACGCCCCCGCCGCGGGGCAGCTGCAGCTCGGCGGCCGCGAGGCGCTGGCCCTGCCTGAGCACGGCAGCGGCAGGCCGAAGACGAGGGGCCGCCGCCGCGCGCAGCGGGCCCCAGAAGCCTCCGCGGTGAAGGCCTCCAGCTGGTGAGGGCCCCAGAAGCCTCCGCGGTGAAGGGCCTCCAGCTGGTGAAGGCCTCCAGCTGGTGAGGGCCTCCAGCTGGTGAGGCGGAGGGGCCCCCCCCCCCGGCGGTCGCGCGGAGGCTGGCCTGGACCGGGGTCGAAGAACAAAGAACACGGCACAAACATAAATTGTTGTCGGTCCTCGCGGATTTCTTGGATTGTTGGGCCCCCCTGGCGGCGCCTCCAGCGCCGCCCCTGGCGCGCTCCGCGCGCCAGGGAGGAGGGTTCAGCGCAGATCCAAGAAATCCGGGCGGACCGTCACGCTTTTATGTTTATGGCGTGTTTTGTTCCTCTAGGGGGGGGGGTCGCGTCGGAAAAAGACGGGGAGGCGGGCAGTACTGCGGGGGAAGTGCGCCAGCCATTCTGCTTGTCCTCGGGGCCAGCGGTGACCGCAGCCGGGTCGGCAGCCTTTGCGAATTCGAGCTCGCATACCAATTTCCATGAGTTCATGAGTTGGACTGTTAGAGCCCCCCACCATGAGGGAAAGTGCACGGCGTCGGGTTCTTTTCGATCTTCGGATTGAGTTGCCTCAGAAAACTTTTAGTACTTGCGGGTGCGGTGCAGACGAAAACGTGGCAGTGGCCAGCGAGTCGGTCCGACAATGGTACGCGATGCCGATGGACATTGGTCCGCAGCATGCGCTATTTCGTTTAGGCCGACACTGGCAGCGTCCAACGTTGCGGATCGAGCACTTCGAGCGGACCGTGGGTTGTGCCCGCGGAGTGCCGCCGCCATTCTAACATCTGAGAACTCTCGGATCCGGCGCGCGTCCAGCCACCACGTGATGGTACACTTCGCTGACGCGCGCGGGGCCGAGTACTCAGGTCCAAAAGTTGTATGCGATGCCTGTGGACATGGGTCCGCAGCATGTGCTATCTCGTGCAAGCCGACATTGGTGGCTTTCACGTTGCGGATCGAGCACCTCAATCTCTCCGTGAGTTTGGCCCGCGGCCGTGCCGCCGCCATGCTGTCATCTGGAAACTCTCGGGCCCGTACGCGTCCAGCCACCACGTGATGGTACGCTTCGCTGACGCGCGCGCGGCCACCTCCGCAGTCTCTCGCCCCGTCTCCGTGGCCCTCGAAGGGTGCGTGGACAGGTGCACGTACGGGCACTGAGCTGATCGCAGGTTCGGGGATCCTCTTCGATCTCGCACCCGAGGGGGGGCCAAGAATGCTGGTGCGACCCCACGCCGAAACCTGGGGACTTGTGGTTCACGGGTTCCCTGCGGGGGAAGAAAAAATGTTTGTACAACCCCTGTGCAAAAGCCCCTCCCGCCGCGCGAGGCCCGAAGGGATGACACCAGCTCGCAGAAGCGCTCGCTCGGAGAGCGCTGCACCAAGCCTGTAGTTTTACACTGCCCTGCTCCGAAGGGAACCTCAGGACAGAGCGCCAGTTTTACAGCATGCCGTACCTCAGGATACCAGTCGCACGTATCCTTGGTATGTTGAGTGCAGCGCTGGATGGATCTGCCGCCTCGCAGCATTTAACACATCTGCTGTCACAGGGTTGGCGAAATATGCTGACATCGCCGTTTTATTAAGCGAGCAGTGATAGTTTGTGTTGTACAGCGGCAGCGGTTACACGAGCCATTGTTGGTTCATGTATTGGGTCACGCGTTGGAGTTAGCGTCAGTGTCTCCAGAGGAAGAAGGCCAAATCCACAGAAAGTTTGGTCATAAGTTTCGTTCAAAAGCGAGTTGGTTCGATTCATACCGCTCCAACAGAGAACAACGTCGGCACAACAGGTTCTATAGACCCATGTCGACAGATCCGATTCAACAGACCCGCTCCGACGGAACCTATTCGACAAACCCGTTTCGGCAGAACCAGAGGCTGGCTGAGGTGGAGGAGAGGAGGGAGTAAGACGACGAGCAGGACCAGAGGAAAGCACTGAGGTCATTGTTCATTGACTGCACATGTGCTTTTCAGAAGGATAGGTAAACTGCTCCCCGAGGGGAAGGAGGAGGAGGGCAAGGAGGAGCAGGAGACTAGGGGAATGGGAAAGAGGAGGTAGAGGGACGAGGCGAGAGGCAGGAGGAGATCACGGAAAAAACATTCCCTCTGTCAAATAAGTAATGTTTTCAGGGAGCTGGGTTTGGGCGGCGGGTCAGCGGGCGGGGCCCACCTTTGCCGATGCTGCCGGTTGCCATTGGGATTTTCGGTGGAACTCCCTATGGGGCCACGAAACGTGTGAGGGTGTGCCGACGTGGGTAATAGGGCCGCATGCGAACGGTGCCATTGGGACCTTCGGTGGGGCCCCCTCATGGGACCACGAAACTTGCAACGGGTGTGCCGAAATGGGTGGCGAGGACGCATGCGAACGGTGCCAGTGGGACCTTCGGTGGAGCCCCCTATGGGGCCACGAAACGCGTGAGGGGTGTGCCGAAATAGGTGGCGGGGACGCGTGCGAACGGTGCCATTGGCACCTTCGGTGGGGTCCCCCATGGTGCGACGAAACGCGTGATCGGTGTGCCGACATGGGTGGCGGGGATGCATGCGAACGGTGCCATTGAGACGTCTGGTGTAGTTCCCTATGGGGCCACGAAACGTGTGAGTGGTGTGCCGAATTGGGTGGCGGGGACGCATGCGAACGGTGCCTCTGGACCCTTCGGTGGAGCTCCTTCTGCGGCCGCGAAACGCGTGAGGGGTGTGCCAAAACGGCTGACATGCTGAGGGCACAGGCAAGGATGGGAGGAGAGAGGAGGGAGTGAGTGAGGAACGCGAGGCGTTGTCTCTGCAAAACGAGGGCCCAACAGCACAGGATGGTTGGGAATGAAAGCGCCATGGAGGCAACCTCGGAGGCCCTGCAGGGAACCGAGGAGGCCCTGGAGGTTATATACGAACCAGCTTCCACATGGGCATGGACAGCTTTGAGGGAACAGAAGTTGAATATCCACGTCAGGGGTGACCCAGACGACCTTGAGGGGAGCACGGTCAGGTGAGGCTCAAATATTGTGTTCCGAGGATCACGCGCCCAGCATTACTCAAGATGTGTGAGTAGGCTTTCGCTTGCTCAGAAGTCGACATCACGTAGCTCAACAGCGGCCAACTCGGCGGAAACGTAAACACAACCATGTCGAAGGCACCGCAGGAGACGTATAAGTTGCAGGGCGTGTTCACATGCACGTGCCCACTTGGGAAGGAAAACCTCGCATCCGCAGCCTGGTGGCCGTGCAAGAGGGGCCCGCGGATCTACTAGAGATGGTGCGGTGTCATGCGCTGGTATGCGGTAGTGTCAATAGTGCTGTCTACTGCGTCAGTTCTAGAGTATGTTCTGACGGGTTCGCAATAATTGATACTAGGCTAGTTTAGCACCTTTGCCCACTCACTAGCCAGCAAACAAATCTTACACTGCTACTCGCCAGTAGGCTCCCACACCTCTCTTCGAACAACACTGAAAGGCAAACGGTCGGTGCCGCACCAATTTGGAATGAAATGCATGTGCTTTGAGATCTACATATGCTTACTGCACCAAGCGCAACCGACCACTTCCAATATTATCAGTTTGTTTGAGCACGTTCATGGAAATTGAGACGCTGGGCACACGTAGCACATTCCACGGAGTTACAAGTGCGGGTTGCTAAGTGCGTGCGTTACCAGCCGCTTGCGCTTGGGGTATCACCAGAAGAGGGTGTTCGAACTGCGGGTACACTTAGGGTTTGACGCGAGATTGGGACGTGCTGTACCTCGACAAACGCGTCTGTGGTGATAGACCCTTGGGGGGCAGCCAGCCATGATGATGTGGCAATAGTTGCAAGTACGCTTGAACTGCAGCCGGCATGTGCACATACATTTCCAGCGTCGCAATCACAGCCGAGTGGATGTAAACTATGGATATAGACACACATAAATACAAGTGCATGCATATACGGATGCGTGAAGCCAATCATGTGTAGCCAGTGGAATGGTTCACCGCATGATGCAGTTCATGTTGTACACCATTTCCAATGAGGTCAGCCCGATCGGCCTCTCTCATTCCCAGCCCTCAGTGTCATGCAATATTCGATGGGGTATGTTTCCGTTTGGGTGCGACGGGATCATTTCGAGTAATGTGGTAAAACAGTTCGAGCCGACGTGTGAACCATTTTTTTGGCAGAGCCAGCGTTGACGTGGCGGTCTGAACATTTCAAGTCGTCATTGAGCTGGGCTTCGCATTGTCATGCCGCTGTGACGTATCCGAGCTTTCGGCTGGGCAAGCATCAAGGCATCAGTTGATGGTACATCTCCGTTGATGCACGTACGGTTGGTTGTTCGATCTCCAGGTGTTTCTGGCAAGTCCCGCCACCGTGGCAGCCCAGCATGTTGGATGGTTGTTCGAGCAGCGCACAGGCAGCCGTAACGTGTCACATGTCGCATCCCGGGGATCGGGGGAGCGGTAATTTGTGATACGTTTTCCCCGCGGTATCGGTGTGTCTCTCCCAGATTGCCCCACCTCCTCTCCGATCTGCAGTATTGTTCCTGCCCCATCATCTGTGTTGCGACTGTTGAAACAACGCCCAGAAAGCCGTCACATGTGACACCTCGGCCGCCTTGAGACCATCTTAGATTGCCGCGAGGCCGTCCTAGGGCGGAGTAGAAGTTTGAAGAAAACGATGGCACTTATGATCAGGAGGAAAAGGCAGATAATGCGGAGGGGGGCGAGCTTCTGTGTGGCGACTCTTGGGGCAGCGCCGAAATGCCGTCACGTGTGACGCCTCGGTCGTCCTTGGGCTATCTTAGTTTTCTGTGAGTTCGTCTAGGGGCGGAGTACGAGGATGAGGAAATGATGAGGGTGAGGAGGAAGGCCGTCACATGTGACACATCTCGTCTCCATGTCCTGAGGAGCTTTCGTGGGGCTTGTTTGGGCCGTGTTGGGGTTGTATTGGGTTCTTGTGGGGCATGTTCGGAGGTTGATTGGGGCAACGCGCATAATGCGACCACATTTGACACGTCAGCCATCTTGGGGCCATCTTGGGCTTCTGTGATGTAGTTTTGGGGCGAAATTGAAGGATGAGGACAATGATGAGGGTGAGGAGGAGGAGGAGGAGGAAGAAGAAGAACGTAACACGTTGCATACGTCCTGAGCCGTTGAAACAAGAAAACGTAAACGGACATCTCTCGAGTTCGAGCCGCGCTAAGCGTATGTTGTGCGGCGACGTTTAGAGCAACGCCTGGAAAGTTGCCACATTTGGCACCTCGGCCGTCGTGGAGCCATCTTTGATTGCTGTGAGGGCGTCATGAGGCGGTAGGAGGTGAGGCCGTTCTGGGACGGTAGGAGGAGCAAACGATGATAAGGAGGAGGAGGAGGAGGAGGAGGAGGAGTAAGAGAACGAGGAGGAGAAGGAGGAGGACATTGATTTCTATGTGGCGACTCTTGGAGCAACGCGAGGATGCCGTCACATGTGACGCCTCGGTCGTTTTGGGGGCTATCTTGGGTTTCTGTGAGTTCGTCTTCAGGCGGAGAAGGGGAAGGAGGAAAATAATGAGAATGAGGACGAGGACGACCGTCACATGTCTTGAGGATGGGCTTCTTTGGGCCGTGTTGGATGCGCTCCTGTCGGAAAGTATTGGGGGTCCCGTGGGGCTTTCTTGGGACGTTTTGGAGCTCTCTTGGGTTGTCTTGGGGCTCCCTTTGGCCGTTTTGGGGCCGTCTGGAGGATCTCTTGTGGATCTTCTAGGGGCCTTCCTGGAGCTCTTAGAGGGCCGCCCTCATTGAGCTTTCGCAGACCGCAAGGTAAGTGACCTTCGACCACAAACCGAAAGTGGACCGCAAGAAATTGTTTGCCAGCGTGGACCCCTAAGAGGAGCTTCTTGCACTCTCGATGTGCAGTCTATGTGGCGCAAGCTACATGGTGCAAGCTACGTGGTGCAAGTTATGTGGTGTAAGCTGTGTGGTGCAAGCTACGTGGTGCAAATTATGTGGTGCAAGCTGTGAGGCGCAAGCTACGTGATGCAAGCTACGTGGTACAAGCTACGGAGTGCAAGCTATTTGGTGCAAACTATATACGGATACATACATTTTTCGAATAGCTTTCCAAGAGCGCCCCCAAAAGGCATCCAAAGAGACTCCCAGCATGGTTGCCAAGCTCATGTAGTGTTTCTCGGGCATCCCCCCATTAGGGTGCCGTGGGTCCTCCTCGTGGCTGCCTTGCGCGCTTTCCTGGAGCCTTCCTGGGTGCTTACAAAAAAGAACACGGGGGAATTTGCAACTTTCGGTCTGTTTCGCAGTCCAACTACGCTGCTTCTCACCCTTCTTCTCGTGGCCAACTTAGAAAACATATAGCTTGTGCCGGCCGCGTGACCAATGGACAGGGGGCTACTTGTGACAGTCATTGCCCGGCAGCCTGGGGGGCGGCGGGGGGGAAATTCGTTGTTTTTTCCCCGTAAGAAGTCTGCGTGGCAATCTAAACGGTCGCCGGCCGAGGCCAGCCGACCAGCCAGAGGGTAGATTGCGAGAGAGAGGAGGAGGAGGAGGAGGAGGAGGAGGAGGAGGAGGAGGAGGAGGAGGAGGAGGAGGAGGAGGAGGAGGGGGGGGCGAGGAGAAGGACGAGCTGATGCGCTAGCGTCATCTGGATGTTTACCAACGGCCGAATCGGGGCATCCACCACTTATTTTGCACACCTTATCCCTGGGATCTCTGAGGTTCTGGAACCCTCGGGTTCGTACGGCCTCTTGCGTTATTGTGCATTTTATTGCATTGTTTTTCATTTGGTTGTTTTCCGACGGATGTGTACAGGCATGGTTCCGCAAACGGCATTGCGTTGGCGAGCATTGTTTTGTTTTGCAATTAGTTGTATTGCATCGCATTACCTTGCCTTTCATGTGCTTTGCTTCTCGCTGCATTGCGCTCGCTTCTGGTTTCCATAGAACTGCGTTGTATGGCAGTGCCAGTGTGGGCATTCCAATATGAACATTATCTTCGCTACTTGGCATTGGTTCGCATTGCCTTGTACGGGTGTACAATTGCCTGAGATCGATCTCTGTTCGGCCCGCGTTTTTGTTACGCTTCGGTGTGCCTCATATTCATGCCAGTTGTGGGTAACTATTTCAGAGGATCTGTGACTTTGTCACGGCCTGGGGCTTGCTAGAAGCTAAGCGAGCGCGAGGCGCGCTCGTCGTTCTCATATGTATATATACACTGTATATCTACATATATATATACACATACATATATCTATATATATATATATATATATGTGTGTGTGTGTGTATCGGCGGCCGGCCGAAAGTCCGGGGAATTTTCCCAGCACAAGGCGCCAAAGGGAGCGCCTACGAGCGGGCACCAGGCGGAGACCCAGGGAGCACGTGGAGTCAGTCAAGAAGACGAGTGAGAGTCTCTAAGTACAAGTGCTGTCTGGGGGGAACCAGTGTGTTTGGCCCCTTGAGGGCCTCCTGGAGAGCGTCCTGGGGGTGTCTTGGGGCCTCTGAGAGGCCTCTGGGGGTCTATTCGACGCTGCTTGGGGACTGTTGGGCGCCTCGTGGGGCAATGGTGGGTCATCTTGGCGGCCTTGGTGGCCTTCCCAGGCATTCTTGGACGCCTCGGAGAGCCTTCGAGAGAGAGCGACAGGGAGGCGTCGGGCCGCCCAGGAAACCTCCGGAGGGGAGGGCGGTGCATGCGACAGTGCGCGTCGAGAGGAAGGGGGGGGTCTTTGCGAATGTACAGAGGCCCTACCAGGCTGCACTCGGCATTCTATCACGCCTCCACGTGCCAGAGGGCACGGTGACGGATTTGACCCGGGCCTCCATCTTGGATAGGGATTGTGTACATATCTGTCCTCTTCCTCTTCCTCCTTTTCTTGCTCTTCCTCCTCCTCCTCCTCTCCTGCAGAGCTTGGATCCGATGCGAGCGAGAGCAGCAGTGAGGGCACTGCAATGGTGGAAGGTTCTGGGCATTCCCCCTCTACTCTTGCACTCGAGGTGGGGAGGCCGATTTGCTCTGGCAACCCCTTGTGCAGGAGGCTGGCCCCGCCGCGGGTGGCACCAGCCCCCAGAAGCGCTCGGCGCCTGGGACATTTGGTTTGAAGGGTGCAGGCAGATTCAGTTCTGTCTCAGCGAACGCCCCGCCAAAGAGCGTCTTCTTTGCAATGCCTTGCTCCGACATGGAACCACAGGGCACAACAAATTTTGCAGGCGATCGGAAGCACCCTAATTGAGGGTACCATCCGCATGCGTCCCTCGATCGGTTCACTGCAGCGTTGGATGGAACTGCCGCCTCGCAGCATGTGACGGATCTGTTGTCAAATTGGTGGCCAGATTTGCCAGCACCGTCGTTTGCGACCGTATTGGGTTGCGGCGGCCACCATATGCGAACCGCCTCTATTTGGGGATGGCACACGTTCACTCTACAGTCTCCGGGGTCTCCAAGCGCCTGCGCCGTGGCCGCACAGGGACTCAGCAATTCGGCCAAGGGGTCTCTCGAAAAGCGACGTGGAGGCAGTTGCAGATAGATTCGCGCGCCGTCTCCGTCTGGCGGCGTTCGCCAGAGCTCCAGCAGATGCACCATGCCGACAGTGCAATTCTTCGCCAGTCGTCGTCGGGGCACAGCGTTTCCCCCATCTGCTCCGCCCTTGCCCTAGGACCGCGACGCCGCAAAGCACCCTCGAGAGAGAGAGAGAGAGACGAGCCCATGCGGCGCGCTCCAGAGAGGGCCTCACCTTCGGCGCGCCGTCGGACCCCCAGCGAAAGCTGGCGGAAGAAAAACGGAGGCGGCCACACCAGCGGACGGCGGCGGAAGCAAGAAGGCGAGACGTGAACAGCATTGGATCTCGAGGAAGAGAAAAAACGCCAAAAACGTAAATTGTTGGCGCTCCGCGCGGATTTCTGGGATCCGCGCTGGGCCCCCCTGGCGGCGCCTCCGGCGCCGCCCCTGACGAGCTCCGCGTGCCAGGGAGAAGGGCCCAGCGCAGATCCAGGAAACCCGCGCGAAGCGCCAAAAGTTTATGTTTATGGCATTTGTTCTGCTTCTAGGATCCAGGGTCTCCAGAGTCGGCTAACCCCGGCAATCCCAGATGCCAGTTGCAGTCCCTGCGCCCTTGGAGTGGAAGGGGGAATCGGAAGGAGGAAGGAGGGGAAGCCACCCTCAAAAGTTTGTCCGGGCCTCTCAGCCGATGGGATTCTCAATCCTAGCTCTTTCTCCCCCTCCAGATACGGTCGGCAATTTCGGGATAGCGTGTCGCTTCGCCGCTTTGGGCCCACCACGCTTCGGCGCCACACGTTCTGCATCCATTTCCCAGTCCCGAGGCGTCAACGTCCCGAGCTTTTCCCGACCTCCCGCCCCGAGGAGCGGAGCGACACGTCATCCATTGGTAAGGCATTGCGTGTCACCGGGGCCGCCGCTGCGACACGCTAAGCAAGAGTTCTCGAACGCACGGCCCCCTCATCCCCTTAGAGCGCGCAGACTCAGGTGGAGGAGGAGCAGAGGAGGAGCAGAGGAGGAGCAGAGGAGGGAGGAGCAGAGGAGGGAGGAGGAGGGAGGAGGAGGAGGAGGAGGAGGAGGAGGAGGAGGAGGAGGAGGAGAGTCTACGTGTCCAGGTGAAGAGTGTTCTGAGACTGCCTGCTCCGATGGCACACATCGCGAGCACGCAGCACCCCTGGCGCGCCGCGAGGCGGTGGCGCCCAGGCAGGGGCCGAGGCCTTGGGCTCGGCGTATTGGGCCACCTTGCATGACGTGTTCAGCGGACCGCGGACTCGGCCATCAGAGCCGCCAGTTCGTGAGGAGCGGCTGGTTGACCCGACTCAGGAGTAAGATCGGGCCCACTTCCGCCGAGATGCGCCGGCAGTTGAAGGGACAGGGGCCGAAAAGAGTTCGGCTCGCCGAACATCATCTCTGGAGCCTCTAAGAGCTGCCGGTGAACCGAGAGATCTTGATCGAGGTGCATGACCGCGCCCACGCGGGCTTCGCATGCAGTTCGCAGCCAGCGCATCCACCGTTGCCCCCTTGTCCACCGCCAGGCAGCAAGCTGGTTGGCAGGATAGCCATGATGGGACCCAATCGGTTCGGACTAATTGCCCCGACGAGGACCGCCACCACCGCTGGTGTCAATAGAGCGGCCACCTGCGAAGGCGGCGAGGCGGCCCCAAGGCGAGACCCCAGCGGTTGGCAGCACCGCACCCCAACAGTGGCCGACGCCACGGAAGTCCCCCGACAGGGCGCACGCAGCTGGAACACGAAGACGATCTGGTCATATGGAGGGTGGGGAAGTGGGCATAGGCGGATCCAGTGCACACAACGTTGATGATTGATGGCGACCAGGTCGAGGCGCGAGGACAGACAGCCGCAGCCCTGATAGCACAGGGCGAGGCAGAACATGCGAGTGCCCGCGTGCAGCGCCGACTCTGCGCAGCCTCTCGAGGCCAAGTAGTTCACCAGCAGCAGCCTCCGAAGCCCAGTCGCGCTCGCTCGCCCTGGCCAGTCAGCCCGCCGCGGCACCGATTAGATGTAGGCCGCAAGCAGTAGCACACGGAGCAGCCAGGGGACTGGGCCCTGCCATTCTTGGTCCCAGCCTTCGCCCGAGCTCAGGCCCTGGCACGGTGCTCCAGACTTGGGCACCTTTCGTTTAGGCCTCCCAGATTGGGGTCCGCACAGATTGGGTCGGAGGATCGCGCCGCATCGCCGATGCATCGAGGATGCGGCGCGATCCTCCGACACCATCTCCATGGACCCCACCTAGGAGGTCTCTGGTAGGGCGTGCTATGAACGTCGGAGTGCGCCTTGCCGCCAGGGAGCGCTCGCCCCGTCGGAGGCAGAGAGGCCGTGGGTCTTGTAGCGTTTCGTGCTGTCGCACGGGCAGTTGTTACAATTGTCTTTTCGTCGATTGCCATGGCCTTGCCAGCGCGTAGTCGTTAGCACTGCAGCCTAGGCGGCTCGAGCCGACCTGAGTCGTAACATCCCGGGCACGACTGCGCGCGGCACGTCCATTCAAAGGATATGCGCCGAAACATTGCAGATGAATATCACCATGCGCGGGGCGTATTGTTGTAAACCCACGGGCCGCGGTTGACTGCTCCTTGCCAGATTTAGTTGCCCCTGGGACGTTTCGGGTTTGGTCCCCCTCCGGACCCGGAAAGCAGAAGCTGGAGGAGGAGGAGGAGGAGGAGGAGGAAAAGGAGGAGAGTCTGCGAATGAAGAAGTGAACTTCCAAGTTCATTGATTTTCTGAAGACCGAAATCCTTAGGGCCCTGTTGGGATGCTCCAGAATCAATGAACTAGCGAGTTCACCCTATCTGGAGCCTCTTGGGGAGGAGTTTGGAGGCCTCCTGGGAGTAGTTTTGGGACCTGTTGGGGGGCTCCAGAATCAGTGAACTACCGGTCCGCTTCCCCCATCCCCATCCTCTCCCGCCTAGCCCCATCACGCTTCTCCGCAATGGCGAGGTGCTTAGGTAATTGATTAAATCACATCGTCAAAGATCAAGGTTCTTAGGGGGGAGCCTCAAGAACACGCGGACTCTGCCGGGAGGAGAAGACGATATTTCAAGTTCGCGCCTGGTCGAAATGCAATTGCGGGGGTGGGGGGGGCTTCCCCTCGGATCTGTCGCAGGTGCCTGGGTCACCAGCGAGCCCAAGAAGCTCAACTCAGCGAGCGAGCTAGCCCGAGCAGGAGGAATCATGAGACTATGGACATGTTCGCGAGGCGCGGGGGGCGAGAGAGGGGTGCGCAGGACCGGATGAAGGCCATGGAGGCCAGACCGGCGCCGCCTTGGCATCTCGCATCCGTGCGCCCCCCCCGTCCTTCGGGGGAGTCCAAGAGGGGGGTGATGATTGGGAGGGGCACCAAGGCCAGGGCCACGATATCTCCCCAGATCTCATGGTCCCCTCTTCTTCTTCCATTACGCCTCCTGCCCCCCCCTCCTCTGCGCACATGCCTCGGGCCATGATTGGTGAGACCTTCATGGACGCCCCCCTCTTGGACTCCCCCGACCAGGCGCCCCTCCCATCCTCCGCCGCACCCTCTTTCCTCGGACAGGTCACGCGTGCTCGTGCCCATGGGCCAGTGGTCCTGCCCCCCCCCCAAACAGCCAAAACAAGACCAACGGGTGTTGAGCTGGGCCGAGAGAGAGAGCCGTGCCTGATGCCCGGCGCGCGAGAGCCCAAGAATGTTTGAAAAGGGGGCCCTGGATCACACCGTGCGCGGCCCCAGGGGGCCGCAGGTCGAGTACGCGTAGGCAGCCGAGGCCAAGGCCCTCCCTCGTGGGCTGCTCTAGGTGTCCCTGGCCCAAATCGGGAGGGAAAA